ATTCCCGTGATCTTGCTTAGAAATTCCGATTCAGCCATTAGCCTACCTTCGTGATCACGCAAAGAGGTCTGCAGTCCGTTCAGAACTCCAACCAACATAAAATATAAATAATTACGCTGTGCATGTACAAATTAATGATTTAGGAGGGAAATAGACTGCTCCCATAACGTAGAAAGCAACGACTATATACAGCAATGTTCGGTAAATATTCAACCGAAAAATATTCTTCATAAAATTAAACCGGACAGATAGTTAATGAGTGAATTAACTATGTTCCTAAATACATATAAGCACATGCATAGCCCTAACCCATTTAAATAAATGAATTGTGTGTGTGTGTATGTATAGCCTATAATTATATATATATATATATATATATATATATATATATATATATATATATATATATATATATATATATATATATATACATATAAAATATTATTAAAAATATTATATATTATATACATCAGGTTACCAGTTAGCTAACGTTAGTGAAGTGTTGGTCACGTAAGCTATCGCTGCAATTAACCTATTATCTTCCAATAAACATTTACTAAAACTGGCTACATAAAATATAACAGACTAGATTCACGAGAGGTCGGCTAATGTGTGTAAAAGTAAAAAAAAAAAGACAGTATTTTCATTAATTTACCAGCGAACGTACGTCTGAAGCACTGAAAATGAATGGGGTTCAATGGAGAAACTATCAGTGTTTGGAACTATTGGCCGCTCCCTTCTTATACTGTCTATGGCCGCTCCACGACACGCGTTACTTCCGCATTCCAAAGTTCCTATGGCGGTCTATGGGAGTGTCGCAACTCTTTCTCTCTATGGCTCTGCCCTAAACCTGCTGGATGTTGATGCATACCTGGACATGTTTTTAGTTATTTTATTTACTATTTAATGTAAGTTTGTCTTCTGGCATAACTGTCACTTGTTCACTCTACCAAATATCCTATGTTTTTTAAACACTTTCTACAGTAATTGACAAGTCAGTAAATACTTTATGATGAGACGTACATTTTAAGTGTATCATGGTCATTATTTAACAAAGTAACATGACAATCTTTTTGTAGTTATAAAAGCAACAAACTATTCTACAATTATTTATGATTATAATTTACAGAAGATTCATTGTAGGGACAGTGAGAGGACATTAGTAACATTAGCATTAACATCAACATTAGTATTAGTGGTCAGTAGAGGGCAGTGAACCTCACCATCTCTCTCTCTCTCTGTCTCTCTCTCTCTGTCTCTATCTCTCTCTCTCTCCTGCTTTCCCTCTCTTTCTCCCTCTTTTAGCCACTCCTACCTTCAGTGAAAGGGGACAAAACAAAAACAAAAGGGGACAAAAACAAAGCCATCAAGTCCTGTCTGGTGTGTCTGAACTCTTACTGTCAAAATCATCTGGAACAACATGAGATTTTCTTCAAAGGTAAGAGACACAATCTAATGGACGCCACTGGACGACTTCAGGAGATGATCTGCCCTCAACATGAGAAACTGCTGGAGATTTACTGTCGTAGTGAACAGAAGTGCATTTGTTTGCTGTGCATGGTGGATGAACACAAAAACCATGACACTGTATCAGTTGCAGCAAAGAGAACTGAGAAGTTCAAACAATAAGTTCATAATTGGTTAGTGTTAGATTATGGCAGTGCCATTACTCAATCATTTTAAAATAAATTTTTGAACAAATATACTACGAAGATAGCGATTGTTTACATGAGATAAAAGCTTCTAAAACAAATACATATGAAAGGATCCCAATACAGTAGTACACACTTATATCAGTAAACTTTCTCAACAAAGACAGTTGGAGGAAATGCAGAGAACAAACCAGCAGAGAATCAAGGAGAAACTATGGAGCTTGAGGAGCTGAGAGAGGCTGTAGAGTCTCACAAGGTGAGTTTAGAGCAGAAGAACTGCTGGAAGAGCTGTTTCAGACTCAGTTAGGACTCTCCTCCAGTCAGTCCGTGAGGAGCCAGTGCTGGAGCTCTTTCAGTCCCACTGAAGCCCACTGTGGGGAACAGGCTGTGTGAGGAACCAGTAAGAGCTGAGTGAATGGACTGGTTCTATGCGACTCTGTGTGTGTCCTAACAGCGCTCTGCACAGGCAGCAGTGGAGGACAGTGAGAGCATCTTTACTGAGCTGATCCGCTCCATGGAGAGAAGCCGCTCTGAGGTGACACAGCTGATCAGAGACCAGGAAAAGACTGCAGTGAGCAGGGTTCCCGCGGGGTCTTAAAAAGCCTTAAAACCATTGAATTTATTAATTTGGAAATAATACCTTAAAAAGACTTTAAAAAGTCTTGAATTTTGATGTCTGGGTCTTAAAATTTGTGCTGTATGTAACTTCTCCGTATTGTATTTTTCCTCAAAAGTTTCATTTGTCAACCACGATTATTATGATTTTCGATGTTTATTGTTCAGGGGTCTCTCAGTTCCCCACATTCCCAGCATGGAATAAGTAGCTAGCTAATGTTAAAAAACAACTTAACATTGTTCGGCAAACTTTCTTATGGCCTACTGAAATGTTTTTATTTTTCACACCTGCTTGGCTTATCATCTTTTACCCATTCCACATTTGAAAAATAAATGAACTTTTGGAGGGATTTGGGATCTTCTCAAGGATTTTGTTTTTCTTTGCTGGTAGGGACGTGAAATAGGTATTCATTTTTTATATAAATGATCTTAAAAAGGTCTTAAAAAGACTTGAATTTAACTTGAAGAAACCTGTAGGAACCCTGAGTGAGTCGAGCTGAAGAACGACTGGAGCAGGAGATCGAGGATCTGAGGAGGAGAGACAAGTGAGATGGAGCAGCTTTCACACACAGATGATCACATTCAATTCCTCCAGGTAACAGAGATCTGACAAACAGGACAGTGTCTTTAGGAAGGGAAGAGATTGTGTATCAAATATTTCTGTGTCTTTAGCTAATTCTTTTGTGTCTTTGTAGTTTCCAGTCTCTCTCTGTCCCTCTACAGACTCACTCAGTATCACTGTCAGTTCTCGTCTCTCTTTTGATGATATTGGTAAATCTGTGTCATCACCACACAGACCAGCGGTATCCTGATCATCCAGACAGATTTGATAGTTTGACTGTCACTGTATATGCTGTAAATAAAAAAATTAGAGAACCAAAGGCCCTCATGTAATTTATTCTGACCTACTTATTTAATCTGAGTTTATGACATCACAGTTAGAATTTACAACCTTGCAGGTCAAAGGAGTTGCTGTTCATTCTTAAATATGAAACAAAGTACAGAAAACATGCAGTGTGATCAACAGTTGAACAACTCAGATTTTACTTCAATAAAAAGAAGCAGAGAAAGTTTATCTTTCAAAGATAATTTTTTTGTTTTACTACAATTTTACTAAATAGAAATTGCAAATGACTCAAGAGAGGTATAATAAAGTGTTGAATGAAGAAACGGTATAAAAAAGAATGCAAAAAACATTGACATTCAATATCGAATTAAGTTATATTGTAAAAGCATTAACAATCACATATAAACATGAAATCATCAAATTAGAGTATTGTTAATAAAAAATAATTATCAATATAATATACTGCCATTTTTAATTATCATTCAAATTAAAGACTCATTTTGGAGATCCAGTTTTGGGGTGAATTGTAAGTTATTAATTAGAGTAGACAATTATCACATTTTTATTTGTAGATGTAATGTTTGCATGCAGGACATATGAGTTTACTACATAATAAAATATCCTCCTGAAACCTAGGAATAGACATTTGGCCTCTGTAGAATTTCTCTGACAACATACGTCACAGTTTTGGACTGCATTTATATAGCGCTTTCACAGACCCAATGGCCACCAAAACGCTTTACATATTGCCTCACATTCACACACTCATTCATACACCGACGGCGGTGTCAGCCATGCAAGGCGCCATCCAGCTCGTCGAGATATATCCAGCTGCAGACCCGCAGCACCACCAGTTTCAGAACCCCAGCGCCAGAACCGGAATTAGATTGAACCACCAACCTTCCAGTTTGTAGACAACCTGCCTACATGAACCACCGAGCCACTGCCGCCCCGGCATCCAGTTTTAAGCCTGGATGTCCAGGGCTTTGCAGAGATACCAAATGTTTGGAGGTGTAACCATGACAACTCCCTCTCCTTGGTCTTTACAAGTGACTGAATTATTAAATTTAGCACTCTTATGGAAATATAATCTTTTTTTGTAATTATCATTTAAATCTGACTAATTTTCTTTTTTTTTTGTCAGAAATCAACATCTCGGGAAATTGTTATCACGTTTCAAATCAGAATATGACTTCTGTTATGAAACGGCATCGATTTCATACATGTCCACTGTAGAGGACACCAGGACAGCATGGCATGGCATTTTGGAGACACAACACGTGAATAGGGATTAGGGAAAGAAATTACACCCTATATCATTATTCTTGTGAAAATGTTCCCAATTACATGTCTTTTATCATTACATTGTGCCCCAAAAACACATTAATATGCAGATTAGATACGTAGATGCATTGCATAGAATGGGAATGGAATTTATGGCCATGATTAGACGCATATTGCATAAAGTAAAATGGTATCAAATAATTCTGTTATATCTTTCATAACACAGTTGAGAATCATCCTTATACAGAGTTTGGATAAAAAAAAAAAAAGCTTGAAACCTAAAATTGATTGGTGAATGAAACAGAAACATTGTTTTTGGCTATACATGTCTTTTCTTGTCTTTTAATTTTTTTTAATAAATGGGTCTACAGAGGACATAGCATAAGATAAGAAAAAAAATCTTCAAAAATGTATTTATTCCATTTGTTTCTTATATACTCCAAACAATGTAATGACCTAAAAAAATAATTCACAAAACTGTTTTTGGCTCTCTTCTCAGGAGGATGTCATTGTTATTTTCTGTTTGCTCTTGGTGACGTCACCGAACCGGAGGCCGGGTGATCCTCCAACGCGGCGCTTAGTCACACCCGTCACACCACACGGGACAGGAATCAACAACCCAGGACGGAATTTCAGAGCGAGGTGGTGTCCCCACCCCTCGGTCCGTGTCTGTATCCGTTTGTGTGCGTGTGTTCTGGCCGGTGCTCTCGTGATTCGGTAACCGGGTGAAGATGGCGGACCCGGCAGAGTGCACCATTAAAGTCATGTGCCGTTTCAGGCCGTTAAACAGCTCGGAGGTGACAAGAGGGGACAAATACGTAGCGAAATTTCAGGGAGAGGACAGCGTCGTGATTGGGGTGAGTGTTATTTTGGGACAGGGTTATTTTTTTATATTGTATCTTACGGTTGGACTCGCGCGAGCGGCTAATGCTAATGACCGCAGCCCAGTACCACCGGAATTTGTCACAACCTGTTTATCTGAATAATTGACACCGACACTAGCCACTGCCTCCGGTCCGGTCCCGCCCGAAACCGACGGTTTAATTCAGACATAAGTGTTAATTTAGTTAATTTCTGTGTCGTTTCCTCATCCGCTTCATGCTAACCGTGTTAGCCACACCTGCACATTCAACGCGGAAACACAGTCAGTTTCACACTTTTGAAAAAGAAAAAACTTATTTGATTTATTTATTCGGTTCATGATACGGATTGGTTGCACATTGTAGGTTATGATGACCATTTTAAACCTCTAACTTAATTGTATGGTTAGGTGTAACGTTAGATATGTTGAATGAGCAGGAAACTAACGTCCATATTTTTACGTTAGGTGTTTGTAAATACTAAGATAATTTCAATGTCAGAAACGTTTTCAAATGTTTTGATATCAAGAACCCCCAAAATAGGATCCACTTTCCAATATCTCCCTTCCTAAAAATGCCTAAAGGCATTATATATTAATAAATAGTCATTCATAAATATTAATTTGTGTGGGAAAATTTGTCAATTTATAGAAGGATTTAATAATAATATATATTTTTATATATATATTAAAGCAAATTATAAAAAAAAGGGAAACGTTTAATTTTTTTTTTACAAAATATTACAAAAACATTTTTGCTTAAATTTAGTAAAAAATCTTTTATTTCTCAATGTTATGCCCCCCTATTGCGGCCCATGGAGTTCCCTTTCAAGGCGGTCACTTCGACATTACGTCATACTGACGTATATGGGAACTCCTCCCCTTCTCCATTTTCACTGAAATCTTATAGATTAACGCCAGCTGGAGACAGCTGGCCAATTGACGCAAAACATGCAAATGCTGACCGGTCCGCGGGCAGTATAAAAAGCATGGGCGCGACAATTACGTCAGAATCTCTTTCTTCACGCTAGAAGTCTTATCTGAAGTCATCGTGGAAGTTGCAATGGAGGTTACTCACCACGTTTCCTCCCCGCATCCGATGGCTGCTACATGCCAGATATGTGCGGTATCGACTCGCTCTACCCAAACAAGGATCTACCGAGGCCGCACTCACGGACGACAGGCATACGTGCTGGTCTACCGGTACGCGCCCTCATAAACCCGGGCATCAGCAGGGATGAGGCCCACTGCCGCCAGCGGCTGCTGGTGGGCCCTCTCACGCCCAAAGAAGAGTTAACAGTCGTTCCCCCCTGTGGCCCAGTGGCGGAACCCGAAGCCTTCGCGCGAGAGACCCGTGTTCGATCCCGGCTCTCGCAGCAGATGCTTTTTAACCTGCCCGTCGCCTCTCCGGTCCTTTTCGCGGGCTCGCTAGAAGGACTCGACGCGATAGGCTTCGTCGGAAAGGATACTTTTATTATTATTTTACTTAGCTCGGTATCTATCAGCCAAGCTACTTCAAAAAGATTCCGTCTTCACGACGTCCTATGGTAAGTCATGCGAAGACGCATCCAGAGAGACGAGGCAAGGCGATGGCTCTGTGTCTAAAGGCGCGAAAGTGGTCATTTCCCCCTGTGGTTCAGTGGCGAAACCCAAAGCCGTCGCACGGGAGACCCGTGTTCGATCCCAGCTCTCACAGCATGAAATTTAGTCTCGCCGCGGCCAGACATTAAACCGAAACTTTTGATCTCTATACGGTCCAGCCTTCCTCGATGTCTCTCTTCGTCGGCACCTCGTCCCGCCTAATTCGGCTACAGCCGCCAAAACGGTTCGAACCCGAAACGAACCGGATCTTCACCGTTGGCAGAGGGCGGGACCGGGAATGTGGCGACACAGGCCACGGAGAGTGCCGCGTCAGGACGCCCCGCTCTGGTAATGGAGGTGCACAGCTTACAGCTTATGTCGTCAGGCTGCCCTGTATCCTTCAGTGCAACTGGCCATTCTGATTTAACCACGTATCCACAGTTGTTGTCGCTACGCCACTGACGCTGTGTTTATGTTCAGACTACACACTGGTATGTGATATGATTTGTGCCGTCATATATTGCCCTGTTTCTCTCAGTGCGAATGGCTATTCTGATTACCACGTATCCACAGTTGTTGTCGCTTTGCCACTGACGCTGTGTTTATGTACACACTGCACATTGATATGTGCTATGATTTAACTGTTATGCCCTTATATATTGCCCTGTATCCCTCAGTGCATCTGGCCATTCTGATTTAACCACATAATCGCAGTTGTTGTCGCTTTGCCACTGGCGCTGTGTTTATGTACACACTGCACACTGATTTGTGCTATGATTTAACTGTTATGCCCTTATATATTGCCCTGTATCCCTCAGTGCATCTGGCCATTCTGATTTAACCACATAATCGCAGTTGTTGTCGCTACGCCACTGACGCTGTGTTTATGTACACACTGCACACTGATTTGTGCTATGATTTAACTGTTATGCCCTTATATATTGCCCTGTATCCCTAAGTGCAACTGGCCATTCTGATTTAACCACGTTTTCACAGTGTTGTCGCTAAGCCACTGACGCTGTGTTTATGTTCACACTGCACACTATATGTGCTAAGATTTGCGCCGTTATATGCTGCCCTGTTTCTTCAGTGCAAATGGCTATTCTGATTACCACGTATTCACAGTTGTTGTGCGATAAAATGACGCTGCGTTTACGTGCACTCTACACACTGATATGTGTTCATGATTCATGCCGCTATAAATTGCCCTGTATCCTTCAGTGCAAATGGCTATTCTGATTCACAGTTGTGCGATGCCACTGACGCTGTGTTTATGTACACTGATATGTGTGTGTTATGCTTATGCCACGATATTGCCCTGTACCCTTCAGTGCAACTGGCTATTCTGATTACTACGTATTCACAGTTGTTGCGTTGCAACGGACGCTGTGTTACGTACACACTACGCACTGTTATGTGTATGATTTATGCCATTACATATTGCCCTGTTCCTTATCCTTCAGTGCAAATGGCTATTCCGATTACTACGTATTCACAGTCTTGCGATGCAACTGACGCTGTGTTACGTACACACTGTACACTGCGTTATGAATTTTACCGTTGTTGCCCTGTATCCTTCAGTGCAAATGGCTATTCTGATTACTACGTATTCACAGTTGTTGTGCAAGCGACTGACGCTGTGTTACGTACTCACTACACAGCGTTACGTGTTGGGATTTATGCCATTATATATTGCCCTGTAATTTTCAGTGCAAATGGCTATTCTGATTACTATGCAGTACGTATTCACAGTTGTCGTGCGATGCAACTGACGCTGTGTTATGTACACACTACACACTATGTGTTATGAGTTTTGCCTTTGTATTTTGCCCTGTGTCCTTCAGTGCAAATAACTATTCTGATTACTACGTATTCACAGTGTGGTGCGATGCAACTGACACTGTGTTACGTACATACAACCCACTGTTATGTGTAATGATTTATGCCATTGTATATTGCCCTGTGTCCTTCAGTGCAAATGGCTATTCTGATTACTACGCAGTGCATATTCACAGTTGTCGTGTGATGCAACTGACGCCGTGTCTATGTACACTCTACACACTGTATGTGTTATGATTTATGCCGTCGTACATTGCCCTGTATCCTTCAGTGCAAATGGCTATTCTGATTACGTACACAGTTGTTGTGCGGGGCAACTGACGCTGTGTACACGCTACGCACTGATGTGCTATGTTTACGCCGCTAAATATTGCCCTGTATCATCAGTGCAACCGGCTATTCTGACTTACTATGTATTCACAGTCGATGTCGCGATGCCTCTGACGCTGTGTTTTTGTACACACTAATGTGACTATGCTAACGCGTTGCCCTGTATCCTTCAGTGCACCTAGCTATCCTATCTAACTGTGCATAGTCACAGTTTGTCGCTACGGCGACTTGCGCTGCATCTGTGTCCACACTGAAGCGTTATGCAGTTATGTTGCTAACGTAACTGACCATTATGTGAACTGTGCATATTCATGCAGTCTCGGTCGCTTCGTCGACTTGCACCGCATTATACACTCAGATGCTTGATATGTGCACACTGATGGGTAATGCTGTTATGTTGCCCTCTATCCTCAGTGCAACATCCAGCTATCCTATCTAACTGCATATTCAGTTCTGTCGCTATGGCGACTACACGGCACGTACAAGGACGTGTTTTTGCTATTTTGTTGCCCTGTTTCCTTCAGTGCAAAACTAGCTATCCTAATCTAACCGTGCATATTCACAGTTCTGGATGTATGTACGTAATCGGATGTGTTATGCTGTAATGCTGCCCTGTTTCCTTCAGTGCTGCTAGCCATCCTAATCTAACTATGCATCTTAGTTTCTGTCTCTACACAGTCTCTGTTGCTACAGCGACTTACGCTGCGTTATGTACATGCAAGGATGCGCTATTCCTTACTCACTTGTGTTATGCTGCCATGTTGCCCTGTATTTCAGTGCAACTAGCTATCCCAGTCAGACTGTGCATATTCACAGTCTCCGTCGATACGGCGACATGCGCTGCATTTATTTACAAATGGGTAACTGCGTGTATTAAGTTGGCGCTACAGCGACCTATGCTGTACGTGCATGTGCTACGCTGTTATATTGCCCCGTTCCTATCAGGGCAACTAGTTATTCTGTGCAAACTCATATTTTCACAGTTGTAGCTACAGTTATGACTGTGTTTGTTTGCTTACTGAGGTGCTATGCTATTATGGGGCTATTTTCTAATTGCGTATATTCACAGTTGTCGTCGCTACGGCCACTGACACTGTGTTTATGTACATTCAGTTATGTGTTGATTGCACTTCTGTACGTTGGCTATAGAACATCGGCTATGTTCTACAAGGTGGCACCCCAGCCCCAAGCTGTGGAACCTTCTTGTGTGTCCGCTGCTGGGTCCTTAGTTGAGCAAGACACTTCACA